CAGCGGTCTCCGTGACGGGATAGGAAACAGTCAACAAAGTAAAATGATCTCAAACGTACTGCGCGCTCTCTTCATTTTATCAAATGATCATAATCACATCTATTCATTTTACAATCCTGCTACTAGAATTTTATTCAGACTAAAACCCCTTTAATTCGGGTGAGAAAGCGGGGTTTTTTTTTTTTTGAGTAACTTTTGCACATCCTGTCGTGCCGGACTGCATAGACACATTTCGCAGCATTAAGGTTAACGATTAATCAATTAATTGATCGTTAAAGGGGTCATATGATGCTGCTAAAAAGAACATTATTTTGTGTATTTGGTAAGGTTCCTGCTGTTGTGTGGCTTCAGAAGACTTAAAATCTAGTGCATGAGTCATGCAGCTACTTTCATGGTCATGAGGTCATATGAACTGAATGGCAAAGAGCTGCATGAAGTGCATCTTCTGTGTTCAAAATATAAAATAACAGTGTACGGAGAACAACATTTTTGGGTGAACTATTCCTTAACATTTATGTGCTTTAGTACTTGACTTACAGTATTCTCAAGAATAATCCTTAAAAAAAAAAGAGTATACACAAAGAGTGCAAAGCAGCAAACAGAGGCCTGCGTGTTCCTTACCCTTGAGGAGAGAGTTTGTCTAGCCAGCCTGCTTTGGTGGCAGCATTATGGGTCCCATAGAAGCAGGCATAGGGAGAAATGGAAACTTCTGTTAGAGAAGGAAGGTTTGGTCTCAGTAGGCCTGGTAGGTCATCTTGTGCCATACTGTATATGTCCTTCACATCTGTTTGAGGCTTGGCGAAAATTGATGGTCCAGTGCTCGAGAGAAGAGTAGGATGTTTAAAAGAGCATTCAGTAGCCAATCGCTGACTAAGCGTGGATTCTTGGAGAGTGGAGTAATCATCATCATCATCATCATCATCATGGACATAATGTTGCTTGGAAAGGTCTTGCTTCTTGTGATTGTGTGCTCTTTCTTGGTTTTGTGTCTGCTTGTTTCTAAAAAAAATATTAAGTTGTAGTAAGGAAAAGGCAAAATAATAACACTCACAATAATTAGGTAGGTAACTTCATTTCATTTCCATTGCTTTATGTTCTTTGAAAGGATGACCATATTTAGCGAGAGGGACACTGTTCCTGAAGAAAATTAAAGAGAAAGTTTACCCAAAAATGAAAATTCTCATCATCATCATTTTCTCACCCTCATGTCATTTCAAACCTGTATGACTTTCTTTTAAAAAAGACAATATTTTGAGTAATGTCTCAGCATTTTTTTTAGTCCAAACTTTTTGGTTACCAACCCTACAGAAGAAAGGAAGTTATACAGGTTTGCAACAGAATTTTATTTTGGGTGAACTATCGCTTTAAGAATAGATAGAGCATATGTAAAGAATATTTGATAATGAACACTTTCATCAATGAAAATTAATTCACATCCAAGGTGCTGATGCTGATTGGCCATTACACCTGGCCATCATATCCTACAAACCACAATGTTGTCTACAGAGATCCTCCGAGTACCACAGTCGGCACATGAAAATCTACAAACCGTGCTAAAATCACTGAAATCATCAAGAATTAGAGGACTTCACGTACAAGTTTATTATTTTTGAATTAGGTTGTTAAAAAACAGGCTAAAGGACAATGAAATTTTCCAAACTGTTCACCTTAACTTCTGTTGATCCAGGTTCTCTTTTACTCCTTGACTGGACATAACATCGTTGCCCACATCCTGAAAAACAAAAGCAATCAAGATGAAACTAAAAGCAAGTCTATTTTCTAAATTCTGTTTTCAAATACCGTTCACCCTTGTTATGAATGTCTTACGGCATTTTCAAGACCTGTAGACTAAAGGGACTTAATTGTACCGTAATGTGTTACATACAGTACTGTATATACAATTTATCAGTAAGAGTGAGAATCACAGCTTTGTTTCAGAGAAGAGCAATGACATTTGTGACCCTGGAGCACAAAACCATTCTTAAGTCGCTGGGGTATATTTGTAGCAATAGCCAAAAATACATTGTATGGGTAAAAATTATTGATTTTTCTTTTATGCCAAAAACCATTAGGATATTAAGTAAAGATCATGGTCCATAAAGATATTTTGTAAAGTTCCTACTGTAAATATATTAAAACTAAATTTTTGATTAGTAATATGCATTGCTAAGAACTTCATTTGGACAACTTTAAAGGCGATTTTCTCAATATTAAGATTTTTTTGCACCCTCACATTCCAGATTTTCAAATAGTTGTATCTCAGCCAAATAGTGTCCTATCCTAACAAACCATACATCAATGCAAAGCTTATTTATTCAGCTTTCAGATGTTGTATAAATCTCAATTTCGAAAAATTGACCCTTATGACTGGTTTTGTGGTCCAGGGTGACATTTTAGGATGTTTTTTTCTGTGGTTTTCAAGTGCAGTAAGTAATGTGCTCACCTACAGACACTGCTGCTTTTTACGTAACACATTTTCAATTATGAATTACGACACTGATGGCACAGCTTGGTTCATTGTACTGCTGGGTCAGATTGCTGTTTACTCACAAGCAAACCACTCCAGAATTTGTTTTCAATCGAGCTGAGACCACTTTTTTTTTTTTTTTTTGGTGCAGATCCAAGCACAATTGCCATGTTCATATATGCCTAAGTAAACTGAACTATGAGAGAAAACAAGGCAGGTTCTAAAAACAAATGTTCCAGATGTGAAAATGCCCTTACTAAAACTGTAATTCGTGCTCTACATGTGAGGTCATTGTAAATCATGTTACTTTATATGTAGCATTCATTTTAACATAACAAATTCCAGCACAGGCAGGTTTCGTATACACTCACCGATTCCTTTTCTGCTGAATTGTACAGAAAAAGCTCTCCATATGGGGCAATGGGGGACAAGGTCCTTTGAAGTGATGCTGTAATTAACACAACAGGAATGAATCATTATGACAAAGCAGGTTGTGGTTATGTGGTTCGATTCTAGGAGGGCAAAGGAGAAAGAGTAAGACAAAGAAAGAACGAGGCAAAAGAGAGAAAAGAACAAGCATAAAATGAGATCCCACACACTGTCCTTTAGCGCAGCCAGCTTGGAAAATGTACCAAAGAGGGAGCAGCTTGGGTGACTGGTTGTCAAGGTGACAAATGACCACCATACCTCTGCGGAGACAGTAAGGGGCAGCATGAATTCCAGACTGTTCCCTCCGGACGGACACACACATAGATATATAGCTAATAGACAGGGCCCCCCGCTAGATAAGACCCTACTGTAGAGTGTTTGATCTAGACGCCACTATGTTATCTATGATAGAACTGTACTGTATTGTATCACATCTTAACCCAGTAGCAAAGGTGTCATTTCAGATCTGTGTCATGATTTATCTTTATCAAGAGTTGACCTTCTAACTACAAGATGATACGCTCACTCTCTCTTTCTCTCTCTCTCTCTCTCTCTCTCTCTCTGCCCTGTTTTATCCGTCTTCTACAAGAACCCATTTCAGGATAATTGTGTAAATCTCTCACTGAGCATTTTGGAAATGTTCGTGAGACACCACAGTCCTTTTTTGCCCCATTCTTTGCTGTCATTCTTAACTTGAACGCCAAAATATTCTAAAACTGTTGATTAAACATAGATTTTTCTCATCGTATTTTCTGATCATCACGTTCTTCTCTGTTGCAAACTAATTCCCTGTTCCCAGTACTTAAAACTTTTCCTCTAAAACTTCATCTACCTTTCTATTACATTTTAGTCTCCAGAGAGTAAGAACAGAATTAGGTTGTAAATCTAGTAGATATAGACATTATTAAACCACTTTTACACCTGAGCCTGGTTTCTGACTTCAGTGTAACTCCCAATTCCCGACTACACACACACACACATCTCGCTGAAACAATTTCCAAACTATTCCTCTAGGACGCTAAAAGCACCTTTCCTGCCACAATTACAAACACTGCGACGTGTTCGGAATGGGGACACAATGGAGCATTTCAAAGCCAAAGGCAGTTTCAAAGACACACACACAAGCAAGCTGCTGTAAGTTTGGCAAACTAGGCTTCTCCACATGCATGCATGAGGAGATAAGAGCATATTCCTCTGAGAGACTGCATCCCATTTTTTTAATGGCTCAATGACTCAATCACAAGAATAGAGACAAATCAGAACAAAAGATATAAACTGCTGAAGCTGAAATAAAGTGAAGCGCAGTGTACCTTTCTGACTGCCTGTGGGGCAGATGAGTCCCTCAGACTTTGTGAGATGGTCATTGTTGTTTGCTGCCACATTCCTGCACACATATTTGTAAGGAGAAAAATGTGAATTTTTTGTACATTTCTGATTGAATGGATAGAAAACAAACAACATTTTACAGTCCCATTCAGTGACATCCAGGGTTTAAATTGGGCCGGGGCCGTCCAGGGCTGAGCCCCGGCACATAGACTCCAGGGCTCGACATTAACGCTTCATTAACGCCAGACAAGTAACCTGATTAAAACATCAATAACCAAAAATAACTAGGCAATCACCAAAACGCAAGTATTATTCAGATTTTATTACATTTGGAGTAAGTGGCGAATAGTGGATATAGCTGCTGTATAAAATGCATGTACTGACGGTATAAGGTTGCGCTGCTGAGGCGAGGCTCAAGCGGCCTCTCCAAGAGAAATTAAAACACACAACACAAAGAAACTCAGCATGCTGAGGTAAAAATTCAAAATGGAATGTTTTTATATTTAAAATACAGTTAGTTAGGCAACATCACACAACGTTTTCACCATCACGACTGTTCAATAGTTCAATAAACAGTTCAATAAGCAAGTACAATAATATTAGGTCGCTTACATTTTAGGTGCAGTATTGCAGACTGCTTTTGTTCTATTTCTTATGTGGTCTCTCAAAACACTTTAATTTGTCCACCAGCACTACCTAGCCTGTATAATGTGATATAGGAGGCATTATGTACTTTTTGTCATTTGTTTTTGGAAGTCATGAACACTTCCACCAGTGTCATTTGCAATAGTGCAATAGTGAAAATGCTGAAGATAATGGAAATTATTTTCAAACATTTTTGTTTGAAAGTATGCATTAACAAATCAAATGTAAGATTTTCACTTTAGCCCTAGTATTCCACTTAAGTCACACAACAAATGTGCATTTTTAACAGAACAAAAATTTTCTGGCACTGGTGGGTCATTTTTTCTTAATTTATTTTTTGTTTATTTTATTTACTTAAGTGGCGTAGACCATACTTGCAATTTGTCCTATTCATGTGACTATACTTGAATTTAACCTATCCAAGTACAGTCACGCACAGAGTAGGGCTGGGCGATATAGCTAAAAAATTTATCAACGATATAATGTTTCATATCGTTCGGTATCGATAATTATTGACATTTTTTATAACCTTTTTAAAAACAAAGAGCAATAGAATTTTTTATTTTATTAACTTTGCATGACTTTCTATACATCTCTTGTGTGAGACGCGAGTGCAGCAGTCATATTTGTCCGTCTAAAAAATGCGCTGAATATGCGTTCTGTGTGAATGGCTTGGTTTCGGTTTTAACCTAATCAAGATCTTCTCCGCATTGAGCTTTTGTATTTCTCTAGTATTTTGAATGAATAACGCTGCAGCGGCGCGTCTCGTGGGTTAGACTAACAAAACATTAAAATGCAACAACGTCACTTACATCATCACCGCATCTCACGCGCCACTGATGACGCTCCCTGACGCACACCTTACATTCAAATGTTTATTTTAAATTTGACTAATATTCATTCTTTATTTACAATCTCCTCATCACAGGCAGGCTCAGCACTCATTTCAGCATGTGTTCGTGTTTGTGTGTGCTGTCTGCCACTCATAACACGTGCCTATATCGTGCGCTATATCGAACATTTTTTTTCTATCGTTATCAAAGAAGGTGTACCGACGATAAATACCTATACCGTTTTATCGCCCAGGCCTAGCACAGAGCGCTGTTCATTCACTCCACCCACCTACATTTCTTGCCGGTACTGGGAATCGAGCCATTGACCTTCGGGTAACAATTCTATTTTGTAGTGAATGACTCTGCAGAGCATGCCATCAAGCTGAGTGCTGATTACCTTGATGCAGCCAGATCAGAACAGCACTATCAGAACACTCTGCAGGTGGTTGAGGCAGACCGGAAGCTGAGGCATTACCTACGGTTAAAGCGTCACACCCAAAGGTTGTGGATTTGATTCTCAGTACTAGCAGGAAATGTAGGTGGGGAGTGTGAATGAACAGTGCTATTTTCCACACTCAATACCCACAACTCAATACCCTCTTCCACCCTCAATACCCACACTCAGCTTGATGCTATAAACTGCATAGTCATTCATGACAGGATGGTGCTGGCAGAGGGCCAATAATTAAAGAAAAGTAAAGAAATTTTAAAAATAAAAAAAAAATGAGCAAGCCACCAAACCCCCAATGGCACCAACAATGGCTGCCCACTGCTCCAGGTCCACAGTGTATGTGTGCACTTGGATGGTTTAAACTACTACTATGGATGGCTACACATCACATCACTTTCACTGTTGTACATTATGAAATTACAATTATTTTTTTCCCATTTTTGATGTTTTAGTGTCAAAGAATGTAAAAAGTCATTTACTTCTAACTGTATTATAGGTTTGGTAATGTTGCTAGAACACAATAATGCAAAAAGTTTTTTTTTTTTTAAATCTCAATCTCTTTTTTTTAACTATTTAAAAATAAACATTGAATTGCAAATGCTAAGCTGCATTATTGTACTTCATTTTCATTTCTATAATAATAATAATAATAATAATATATACACACACACACAACGCACACAATAAGGACAGAAGTACAACACAAACACTCAAAGAAAAGTGAAATTATGCAAAAAAAAGTCTAAATAATTTCACTCTTCTTGATTGTTTGTGTACTTATAGTATTATGTTTCAGTTTTAGACTTTCAGTTTCACTGAAAGTAACATGACTATGACTTATGACTAGGGGTGTGACGAGATCATGTGCCACGATAAACAGTTTCAATAAACAAAAAGTTAACATGTGGTAAATTTTAGAGTCAATATTATGTTTTGCTCAATTTCGCCAAGGAAATAGTTCCAAAAAAAATCTTACTGAATGAATCGGCAGTCAAAATGCACCTGCATTGTTTTGCGTTTTGTGACATTCATTCGAATGAAAGACTATTTTTCACGATTGAAGATTTCTTAAAAAAAAAGTGTGAAAATATTGTCTTGTCTCATTCTCGTGAACCCGATATTGTGTATCGTCTCGTCTCGTGAGGTAAGTGTCGTGTCAAACTCCTATTTATGACATGCTGGCGTTCACCATGTCTGTGTTGCTGTGTCAGCAACCAAAAATATTCGATGCAAATTTATTTTTAAAAAATGGATTTTAGGCCAAAACAAAATAGTTTTAGAGGGATGAAATCATCGAACCAAAACAGTTACTTTTAGTGCTGCTCTGTTGGCGCGATTTGTCTGTGTCAGCACCTATTTTGTGGGAAAGGTACAAAAGGGAAACATGGCAGCACTTTGAACACACTTTACCATGATCAAAAATGGCTCATTTGGCTCATTGCCAAAGAACTTTACTACAACCGGTTTAAATTATGATCTAAGAAAAATCACACCCCAAACAGCATATGGAGTTCAGTTACCCAATTACCTAAATTGAATTACTGAAACTTTATTTTTGGTTTCTGTGTTTGGCTAAATGAAAACTGATTTCTGTTAAAAAAATAATAATAATTTCAATGCATCACTAATGACAAACAAATAAAAAACATATTTATAAATGTTTCATTCATTTACATATTTACTCACCAGTCATAAGGAGGTATGAAGGGATGTTCAGGGATCTCTGGTACAGGCCTGTGTCGTAGTTTATAGGAGCGGGTGGACCTCGGCTCAGACGGTTCCTTAATGAAGGTACACTGCTCATATATTTCATTTTCAACCATTTCTCCCTGAAACCCTACAGAAGCTCCTTCTGAGGAAAAGTCATCATTCTCATCTGGAATAGGTTCTTCTGAAACATTCTCCAGTGATTCGCTGCTGCCATGATCAGAGGCGGAGCTTGAGCTGGAGGAAACAGTGTGACATGTAACACTAGGAAGTGTATGAGGAAGTGTAGCAGAACCAATGGCCATCCGCTCTGAATCAGCAATAGTCCCTGAAGGAAGAGTTTGCCTTGTCATCTGGATGTTACTGCCCTGAGAATGTCGACAAGATGTTCCTCTCTGCTTAGCCTTGGGAAACACCTGTCTAGGTCTTGGGATCGGCTTTCTCCTCACTGGCACTTCACCTCCATCCACTTCCATCATCAGGGTCTCCAGGCTGCTTAGGATCCTCCGACGGTGTCCTGTGGGAATATTGTTCATCTGGTAAAGCTTCTCCTCTGTTAGGCTCCTGAGGTCCTTAAAGCAATGGTAGCCAGCCCGGGCGAAGCTGGAGGCATATTGGGGCAGGTGCAGACTGGTCAGCCACCGAGTAATTTCCTGGTCGGGCTCCATAGAAGAGTAGACACATGGGGTCTTCAGTGGTCATGAAGTCTACCATATGCCACTGGATGACGAGGTTACTCTGAGGCAAGTTGAAAAGATGTAGGAACACACCCTAGGGAGAATAAACTTGTGTTTGTGAATAATTTTCTTTGCATTAAACAAACAAACAAACAAGTTGGTGTTTAGGAGTTGAACAACAAAATGCCAAACTTATCCGATTTATGTATGAATCGTCTTGACAAACTAATAAAATATGATACATTTGAAAGTTTTGTAGCATAAAAACCTGTGTCTGTATAACATGGTATTTGCAGAGGTCACACATAGGAACACATACAGTACATAACATATAAGAATGGCATAACAAAATACACTAGTGCTTAGGATTAAGAGTTTATTGAGGTAAAAGTCATAGTTAATGGTTTGTTAATAACGAGAATTGGACCAACAGTTTTCAAAGATTCATAAGTTATACACCCTTTTATGAGCAACATAAGATCTGAATCTACAAAGAATTAGTCTTGCGTAGCCAGACCTTCAGACTGACGGCAGAAGTTCTGAGAACCTTGGTCACTTTGAATGGCCAAGGCCACCCCAAGAGGCCATATGACTGACAGTTAAAGCAACCAATCACGTTTCGTTTTGTGCCGCGTCATGTACTGTATAGGGGCGAGGAAATGTTCCCACAATAACTGTGTGTAAAACTCTTAGTTTAAAGATATTTATGCCGCAAACTTTCAATATTCCACAGCGTTTAGTTGATCCTGATAAGCGCTCATCGTCACAGTTGTAAACACAACAGCTTTCTTCTTCCATGAGTGAGTATGGCGTCACGGCATCTTTGTTTCCAGGCAGAATGTTAAAGAATGCAACACACACGTCTACCAAAAATCCTGTATAATTCAACCAATCCAATGATGACTTCAAAACTCCTGAAGAGTTTCCAATTTTGTGTGCGATGTGTGACTTGGTTGTGTCTCATCTGCAACACAAATCAACGCTAAAGGTCTGTTCACACCAAGACAAATATTTGGTTTGAAACTTTATTGGAATAAACATTCATTGAACGAACAGCATTTCATTTACACAAACATTTGCATGCGTCAACTGACCACTTTTAGTCATGTACCCATAGACGCTGCTGTTATATAAAAATATAACTTGGTGGCACACACAAATAGACTATTTTGCTAAGCAACAGTGAATAGCAGAGGAAGAATCCGGGCTCAGCTCTAGTCTCTATACTCTTCTATTTGGTGCAACATTTCGAACAATAAGGCAATTACAACAAAAATCTGTAACTATTTATACTTACCAGCTATTTTCTGTATTTTAAAAAATATTGTATTTTTTACAATAAAATCAGGATGGGAATGAGATGTAGATAGTGGTTATAAATATAAAACCCTTTCTTTTAAGACTAATTTGGTTTGTTGCTTCAAATGTTGAATCTGAGTATTCTATGTATATATGACCTTATGTATTCTATGTATATGACCTTATGTTACTCATAAAAGGGTGTATTTTAAAATGTATGACTCTTTGAAAATTCTATACAAAGTACAAAGTCGATGCAAGAACACTTTGTTGGAAGCAGAATTGATTATTGTTATTTTTAAAGGCTCTCTAAAAAAAGCAATAAATCTTCTGCATCTTGTTCAGAATGGACTGCAGAAGCACTGATCCGAAGAACAACAAGAAGACTTTACATATTATCTCTGTTTCAGCTTCACTCATTACATAGTATCATGGATAGATCTCTGTGTTATTTTGCTAGTTTCTAGATCTCGGAATGGCTATAAGCACCAGTGTATTTTGTTATGCCATTCTTATAGGAAATGTATAAAAAGAGTAAGCGCGCCATCCTCAAATCTCAACACAACCAGCTATTGTAACTGACCATCACATTGCAAATGTCACCCTCAAATAGTTCTGCACATGATACAGCAGACAAAAATTGATTGGATTGTGTCTGTATAATCAGATAACTAGCGATCCACTGCCCAAAAAATTTTTTTGTCCCACTCACAAAGTAGATCCATTTTCTGCCATGTTATAAATAGTTTGTATAATCACAGTAAAAATGTATGAAGGTTGACAGGTGCAAAGGCATGATAAATGGCTAGCTGTCCACCGTGTTCTGTTCATATAGCATATATCAAATGAACTCATTCTCAAAATTTGCTTCTCACTCCTGTAAATTTCAGGTAGTCCCTTTTGGTTGTCTTTCATAACCAAATTATGCACACGATAACCATGTTTATTACTCCAAACAAGACAATGGTATTTCACTGCTGTCTGAATGTACACATTTTGGCTATGTGAGCTATGTTCTGGTTTTTAGCTGTTTATTCTGAAATTAATTGTATATATTAAACACATAATAAAAATAAAGCACATTTCAGGATGATATGGGTTTTTGACATTATTCCCATGACAACTGAGTAAATTCCCCTTTGAAACCCTAAGCTGCATTCCACATTAAAAATCAATTAACATTTTCATAAGCATCTTTAATAATTCTTGTTCTTCCCCTGTTTAAATAGAGTGACAGTAAACTTTATCAGTGATGTGAATATTATTTCCACAGCATTTAAAGAGCTCTTTCAGTACTCCTTGGTGCTCTCTGCTTCTCCTTTTCTCAGCAATACTTCTTCATTTAGCTAAAACAACAACACCGGTCTCAAATATAAATAATATACATACTCTGTGTAATTCCAAAGTCTTGTGTGGTATTTTGCTTTTTTAACTTATTGTATATATTGTAAATGTATTGTATATATACAATATTGCCGTGTCGCACCTCATCCAATGTAGACAGAATTAATGATTATATTGGCTTCTATTGCCTTTTGTCACATTGCAGTGTAGGTGTATGGTGTACGATCAACTGTTATGTCTGAGAACTGCAACACTTTTTTTTTTTTTTTTGATAATATCTCTAGTCATTTTATCAATCCTGGACAAGTGTCTATCTGTAATATAAAGTTTCCCTCAACATGACATTAGCACATTATTAGCATACTTACATTAGGACCAGTCTTTCTCTTGCTTAAAAAGAAAAAATATATAAATGGATTCTGTATACTGGGAAGATATTCTGATCATATTAAATGAATATTTGTTCTTTGTCAAAATGATTTACATCCAGGTAAACATAACAATAGATGTTAACGACAAGACAGCATAGCTTGCGTGTTCACATTGTTACATGGTCCTTTGCCTTTAAGCTTATAGTTTTCAGAATGAGAAATAGCTTAAGTTACAGAATAGGCTGCAGATATTAATATGGATATTTTAGGTGCTGTCAGAGTTGTTGTAGGCAGTGCTGCAATGGCAAGTCAATTTTAATAATCAAAAAATATTTCTAATTAATTGAATGCATAAAACTGTAACAATGTAATAAATTATTACATATCACAATAATACTGCCATATGAAATGTGTTTAATTTTCCAGAAATTCTGTGTGTTTTATTTTTTTCTGGTTTCTTTGTTTTATAATTCCATACAAATGTATTATAAAATATGGCAGTAATCAAATGAATACATAAAACTTTAACATTTTAATTTGTCTTTTAAAATGCAATAAACTGAAATTTGTATTTTTCTCATTTTTTGGCAAACAAAGTGCTGCACAACAGAAGTTTACCGTGATGAACACTGATAAAAAACTGTGTGATATTATTGTTTTATAAACTGTATTATTATTGTTGTTGTTATTATTACTTAAATTGAGAAGCACATTCTACTGTACAACAGTAATATATTTATGTCATAATTTCTTCAAGTTAGACCAAACTTTTATTTTGTCAGATTTGCGTTATCCTAAAATAAACCAATGATAATATGAGGCACATTTCACAATTTATTATTGAAACCTATGTAAAAAAAATTCCTTATCCTTATTTGGATATAAACACATCAACAAGAAAAGAAATCCAAAAAGTAATAAGATGGAAATTAGATTCCATTACTGCAATACAGAATTCATTAGATTAGGTTACTAAATATAGGCTACTTCAATAAAAACAGCTAATCTGTACCTAAACAATTAAAGTAACTCTACCAGACTAACTGCAAGGTATTGTTCAATGAGCATAAAAGGCTGCTTTTGTTCAGATCAGTTTAAGCCTTGTTTAACAAATCAGATTTTTCAGATCTGAAAATCTGTGTCTGGGTAACTGGCTAAAACATCACAGCTTTGGCACAAACCAATGCTTTCACAACCTCTAAACCTGCACTGACATGCATCAGAGTTTTACCAGTTCAGACACAGGCACATATATTTCATGAATTACAGAGTAGCACAGCATATCCTGCCAATGCAGCAATTCACTGGTTTCCTGCCTGAAATGAGTTACAGATCTGTTCCGTGACAGTCACAGACAGCAGGGAAAACAACTATTTAATATGCAAATAATACAATCTAATTAACCATATAATTGTACATCGTAAGCACAAGAAAAGGCTTCAATTTTTTTTTTTTAAGTAGATAACAAGGGAGGAGAAAATACTTTCTATATCTGTTGTTTTGGCTGAAAATTCATCTGTCACTTGGCAGAAGCAGGCAAATTATTCAGATTATCCAGGCTGCATGACATGCTTTCATCTCTGAAAACCATGGAAAAAAAATAACTATCCAAGGTAAAAGAACATTCAAATCAGACTACATTAAATACAACAAGGATAAACACGGTTTGTGTTCTGTGCAGTGAATTATTGTCTGATGAGAGCATGAATCTATCAAATCTCAAGAGACATTTAAATACCTTTTTCCACAAGAAAGTAGCGTCTTCATAGCATCACAGCAAATCGACAAAACCCATAAATCACACTTGTTCTTATGCATTAGGCCCGGAATGGTCATCGGGAGCACCGGGAGAATTCCCGGTGGCCTGGCGACTGATTTGGCCCGCTGCCCTGTTTTTGTTTTTGTTTAGTTGTTATTATTATTAATATTTTATATTTATGCCTTCTCAATGTACCAAAGTGATAATTTCCTATGTTTTCATTCGATAATAAATCGATAATAAATTATAAATTGGTTAGTCTTGACTGGCAGTGCTGCTCTATACGAACCAGCTCACGTGTGTTCCGCGCTTCCGTCAAAC